TTATGTACTAACTTTATCTCACTTTTTACTCAAAATTTTCTCTGGTTTCATTTATCTCATCTATATTTAAATATATTTAATCTTGCTGTACTGTACGCATTTTGTATATTTCCAGGAACAAGAAGTAACGTAAATATTTTCAGCGTATACAGGATGCTGTGTGGCCTTAGATTTGGCACTTCTGTGCTCATAGGCAATGTCAGGTCACTGAGTGCCACGTATCTAAAGAGACAGGCCAACACTGAGGTTAGAACCCCTCTCTTCTCCAGCATCAGGCAGACCATTAGGTAAGAAAATCTCTGTCTCCCCTTTTCCCAATCTTAGCCCCCAACAGTAGGGCCATTATCTCTGAAGGAAAAGGTAAGGGGACCCCCAGATCTCTGCCATGATTTTGTTTCTCTTAAAAGTGCAGGAGTTGGGAGAAGGGAACAAAGAACAGAGTATGTCTCCTTTCCATTCCAAGACCCTCAGAAGCCACAGTCCTGGTCTGCGGTGAACAGGAGTAAAAAAGATTTAAACTAAACATGAAATGAGACTTGATTGGCTTATTAATAACACAAAGTGACCAGGAAGTGATAGGATGTACCCAAGACATCTTTAAGAGACAGTCGAGCACGGCTGAACACAGTGACTGGAAGAAATGAAAACTGATTATGGCATCACTCTGCTGATTGGAGACAGCTGAATTAAGCAGCTTGTCTGCCCACCTGCCTATTTATTGTGTGTGATTTGGAAGGTATATAAAATATCTGATTCTCAAATGTCCTCTTGGTCATTTTAGCTGGGTTTGAAAGCTTCTGGGCTGCACAGCATCCCCTTCCAATCACCCTGTAAATCACTGGACTTGTGCTGTATCAATTCTGTCTGCATGTCTCTCTCACAAATATACGAAGTTTACCCACATCCATTGAATGACTCTCTCAAATGTAATGGCCTTTTGGCCAAGGTTAGATATAGCTAATGGCCTAAATGTTTACCAGAAGCTTGTGACAAAAATAACTAAAATCCCAGAAAATGTGAAATTAGCTAATTAATCATAATATTGCTATAGTCATAATTTTGTAATATATGAAATCGATAGCGTAAACACAGTAATCCAGTTGTGACAAAACTGCAAATTCAAGTCATTGATAATATGACAAGAACCTATTGATTTTTCCTGATTTTTTTTTAACATAAACAATGCTGTTCCTTTCACTGGCTTTTGTTCCTATTTCTTTATTAAATTTTTTTTCTAGGCTAATTATCCAAAGCACTGAAAAAGGCTGAGAAAGCTAAATAGATTAAAGCCTGATATGACTCGAGATTTTTCACTGGGCACAGCCAATACTTCCTGCAAGACAAGCCTGAAGGAGGGAAAGATGGGGAGGGTGGAGTCGCCATCAGAAATGGGCTTTCCTGAAGCAGAATTTCTGTTGTGTAAGCAAAGAGAGTCTATAGGATTTGGCCATTTCTATGCTTTAAACCCCACTGGCTATTTCTTTTTCATTCTTTAAATGTGGCTTTTGTGTAGATCTGCCAGAGACAACTGCATATCATCTCTGACACTCCTTGGGTCGTCTCCCACCCGTCTGCTCTGCTATTCCTGTTCCTTGTCTTTCCCGATTCCTAGGTCCTCCTCTTTGGTTCATCTGTGCTTGGGTTCTGTTTTTCTCAAGACTTCATGCTCAGAAATCCACTTAGCTTGGTTCTCCCCAACTCTAACCCTGCCTTTGATTGTTGGTCACAGCCAAAGTCGGATGCTGCTTTTGGCGTTGGTCTTTAGCTTAACAAATTTCACCCAGTGAAAGAAGCACTACTCAGTTCCAACTCTGATTTGTAAAATTTGCCAGTTTTCTTGGTGCAAGTACTCCCATCGTGGCTGACTTCGCTCAATGTGGAGTCAGGAAGAGATGGGCACGGTGGCTTCTAGGAGCCCACGTGAGCCGGCTCCGTGGGGACTGACCCCTCATCCAGCTCACTCTATCCCCTCGCGAGAAATTAGGATGCATCGAGTTTTACAGCTGCTCTCGAAACCTCCATTTCCATCTTAGTTCTTCAGAGGCTGCAAAATGATGCTAACAGACAAGAACTACAAGAACTGCTTTAGCCACTCGACACCAAACTCTGCCTCTGAGTCCAAGTTCAGGATGAAGCTCAGGCGCCACCTGGGAACCAGAGGCAGTACCGCTGGAGTGGCGCCCCTAGTGTTCTCAAGCTGGTGTTGCAGCCTTAAGAGTTTGACCCATAACCGAACTCATTTGCTGCTTAGATGACGATCATCCGCATCAGGGAACTTCAAAAATTTTTATTTTAAAAACTATTGTCCTGGGGAAGGGCTGCCGGTTAGGGTTTCTTGCACACACACCACCAGTGTCAGCTTTGCTTTTTGAAGGACGCTTTTCTTCCATAAAAGGGATTTTGTGTTTTTGATCCTGTTTGCCTTGTCCAGGCCAAGAGTGCAATTTAATTTTTGATTAAATAGTTACCTTATTATTAGTTAACTCTAGCTTTTTACGTTTAAAAACACATACAAACTATTTAAAATCTCTGTCTAATAATAAGACTCCAATCATAAGCCATCCCTCTGTCAAGGAGAAAGCTTGTCTGACCTTCCTGCTTCCTACCTACCTGGCACTAGAGTTTGAAGCTTTAAGACGGGAAGATGAGAGCCAGCCGCTAAGGTGTGATGAGAAGACCCAGCGAGCTCGGGCTCCTGGTGGCTGGATTCAGTAGCTGCACAGCCTGGACCACCTCCCTCTGGACTTCTTGTTTGTGAGAAACATCACAGCTGGCCAGACTTCTAGCTCAGAGCCAGATGCATCCCTAACTGACACACGATGTAAGCAATGCCCGGTCATTGAAGACCTTGAATGTTCTGCACAGGGGCTGGGACTTCCACATTTGGGCACTGGGCACTGCGGTCTAACTTAGGGGCTTTGAAAGTAGAGCTTTGCATTCACACAAACCTTGGTTTACATCACGGCTCAGCCAGCTACTTGTTGTTTAACTTGAGAAATCAGTTATCTCCAGTCTGAGCCTCATCAGGGAGACACGTGGAGAAACTTACTTTAGGATGCTAACCTCAGCCACAGCACGCCGGAGACAATGGAGGAGGTCAAAGGCAGAGGAAGAGTGAGTGTTTGCCAGTGTCCTTCTGGAGCAAAATAAATCTCAACTAAAGGTTCAGAAACAACTTCAGAACGTAAAGTGGATTGTGGTTGACATTCTTCAACCAAACAATATTCTGATGGTGCTGGATCTTGCACCTGTTCTTTGAGACTTTAATGCCTTTATAACTAAATGTCTTACACAAGTTGCTCTAAACTTCTTCAGGAGAGGGAGGCTTTTTTTTTTTTTTCTTTCATGCACCTTGCATTATGCCCAGGAACACAGTGAGGAGTCCATAAATAATTGGTGAGAGTAGCCAGCACTAAAGGAATCAATAATGTAAGATTCATTATTCCATGCTTGTGGTACTATGGGTGCTTCAGAGCCTGTTGATAACCAAAGTAGTAGGAAGTTTAAGTACAACTTCATTTCAGTTATGGCCACTTAAGAAAAAAAGCTCTAATGTTGTTCTTCTGTAAAGCCTGGGTCAGGCTTAATTGAGCCTAGAAGTAGGTGGTATAATTTAAGAGGTAACAAAAATGCTTTGGCCCCAAATATCTAATTACACTTTCTGGTCAAGGATGCTTGAAAGTTCTCCATCAGAGATGCTCTACTTTGAAGAATAAAGGGAGGAACTCTGCCCAAAATGAGGGCCGGGGGTAGGAATAGCACATTTCCACCAGTACCAGCCTGATGTGGAGGATCTGAGGCTCAGATTGAGGATAACTGATTCCTCAACATTCCACAACTGGTACTGTGAGCTGGACTGTGAAGCAAGCTCTGTGTGGCTGCAAAGCTGTGCTTTTAACCCCTACATTATACAGTGCACCCTCATGCCCTGTGTCTCTCTGCTCCCCAGTGCATGCAGTTTGCAGGTAGTACCCTCAAAGCTAGATGTCCAATGGCTGTGACATTCTTTAGAACAGGACTTAGTCACTGTGATGCTCGGCCTGATTAGCTTTGTTGTGGAGGAGACACATGTGGGAGAGAAGAGCCTTCATCAGCCGAAACAAACTACTCCATACTCCAGCAGGTTGACTAGCACCGTGCAAACCAGAGAGATGGCATGAGCCATTAGGCTTCGTGTCTATTTAAATCAAACGATATGCAACCCCCTTGGGCTTCCTGAGTTACCTGTCCCAGGACTCTGACAGTTTCAGAATCTCTGGAACTGGTCCGGACGGGCACATTTCACACTCTCGCTTAAGAACCTCATGCACAGGAAGAGTGTGAGACTATTTGGATCAAAAGGTGTCTCTTCCTTCTTACACAAAGGCAGAGAGAAGCTGTCCTGCCTTCAGGTGCAGGCTGAGACTCAGACGAAGAGGCTATTACAGTCATCCCCCAGTATCACGGGGGATTGGTTCCAGTACCCATCCCAATATCAAATCCACAGATGCACAAGCGCGTTATATAAAATGGCGTAGTGTTGTGTATGAATGCTCATCCTCTTGCATGTTTTGAATCATCTCTGGATTACTTATGATATCTAATGCAGTGTAAATGCTACCTAAATAGTTAAAAATGCAACACAATGCTATGGAAAAAGTTACTGGTGTGCAGCAAGTTCAAGTTTTGCTTTCTGGAACTTTCTAGAATTTTTTTCTCAAATATTTTCCATCCATGGAGGGTTGAATCCCTGGATGCAGAAACTGCAGGTACAGAAGGCTGAATGCATGTAGCTACCGAGTGTAGCTGCAATGAACAGTTTCTGGGTACTGCCCTGAGAAATCGATCAAGATTCCTAGGATCTGCAACTCAAAGAGAACACGGCTCCTCTCTAGGACCAAGAGACCATGAACTTAGCAGCAGAGTTTGGGGCTCCAAGAAGGGAGGGAATAGCATGTGGGCTTCACAATCTGTCATTTTGTTTTGTCACTTCAGCTTCTTTTCAGAGCCCGGGCACTCACCTCGGCCTGCCAGATGGGGTTCACCGTGTTGCCTATGATCTTGGATCTCCTTTCCTGTCCGTGGTGGGGCAGAGCGGGGAAGATGCTGTGCTTCCCAGGCTGAATGGAAATCTTCAGATAAGGGTCTGGGTTGAAAAACATCCCTTTCTTCAACCCCATGGCCTGGAAATCTATAAGATAAAGGATATTTTAATTTGGATGTGTCTTAGAGAGATTAAAGATTCTATCAGGCCTTACACAAGGAGAAAAAGTCCATCTGAAACAGAAAAAAAATGAAATCTTTTGACCATTTTTCACTTAATTATAAATAGGGACTGATACGTCTACAGAACTCACTATATGCAACATTTCAAGACATGTATTAAATTGTTTTGGTACAAAATCCCTGTAATAAATCAATACAATGGGCATTGTGGTTAACTATGCTTTTGAAGAAAGGACCATTGGCCCTTACTGGTCTGGACTTCTGGCATTCCTCAGGCAGACTGGGGCGAGGGGCTAAGGGTCACCTCTGGAAACTTGGGTGGACCCTGAGGGAAGAAATCCAACTTTGAAAATTCAATGGGTCTAGGCAAAAATTCTTCAAAGTGGAGACGTAGAAAAACAAGGGCTGAGGTCTCACAGCAAATGTGATCTCCACTGAGTAAGGAGAGAGAGAATAAGGAGAAAAAAAAGAGAAAGATGAGAGTTCAAAGAGCAAAGAGCACGGAGAGTAGAAAGAAGAAAAAAAGAAAACAAGGCTTCCATGGAGCTAACGCATATCAATGAGGAGAGTTTTGAGGAGAAATCATGCTGTCAGGGGGCCAAGGCTTTGAAAACTGAACATTGCATGTAACTGCAAGTGTCTGGTCATGTACAATTTCATGCTGTGTGTGTGTGGGAAGAGAAAGTGAGAAAGAGAGAGAGAGAGAGAAGTCAATTGTGATAATGGTGTATGGTTATTCTGAGATAATTTGAAATAATTTTACACTTATTGGAAATGTGTTTATAATAACAAGAGGTAAAATTAAATTTTTTCCATTATTGAAGTATTTTCCAAAAATTGTTCATAATTATACATAAATGAAGGAAATAAATGTAAAAATACATTGAATTAATTCTAAAGTGTGGTACTATTTTTTTTTTTTACTGCCCTAAAAGTCCTCTGTGCTCTGATTATTCATCTCTCCTTCCCCTAATCCTCAACAACCACTGATCTTTTTACTGTCTCCATAGTTCTACCTTTTCCAGAAGGTCATATAGTTGGAATACATACAATATATAATCTTTTTAGATTGGCTTTTCTCAATGAGTAATATGCTTTAAGATTCCTTCATGTCTTTTCATGACTTGATAGCTCATTTCTTTTTAGCGTTGAATAACATTCCATTATCTGAATGTACAACAGTTTATTTAGCCATTCATCTACTGAAAGATGTCTTGGTTGTTTCCAAGTTTTGGCAATCACAAATAAAACTGCTATAAACATCTGTGTTAGGTTTTTGAATGCACCGCAGTTTTCAACCCATTTGGGTAATTTGCAAGGAACGTGATTGCAGGGTCATGTGGTAAGAGTATGTTTAGCTTTGAAAGAAGTTACCAAAATATCTTCCAGAGTGTCTACTATTTTGGATTCCTCCCAGCAATGAATGAGAGTTCTCGTTGCTTCACATCCTCACCAGCATTTGGTGATTTCAGTGTTCTGGATTTTCATCATTCCATAGGTACATAGTGGTATCTTGTTTGTTTTAATTTACATTTCCCTTATGAAGTATGATGTGGAGCATCTTTTCATATGATTATTTGCCATCTGTATATCTTCTTTGGTGAGCTGTCTGATAAGATCTTTGGCCCATTTTTCAACTGGGTTGTTTGTTTTCATGTTGTTGAGTTTTAAGAGCTCTTTATATATTTTGGATTAACTGTCCTTTATCAGGTGTGTCCTTTGCAAATATTTTCTCCGAGTCTGTGGCTTGTCTTCTCATTCCCTTGACATTGTCTTTTGCAGAGCAGAAGTTTTTTTTTTAAATGAAGTCCATCATATCCAGTTTTTTTTCATGTACTGTGTCTCTGATGTTGTATCTAAAAGGGCACCATCCTACCCAAGGTTATCTAAGGTTTCTCCTGTTATCTTAGGACCAAGAGTTTTATAGTTTCATGTTTTACAATTAGGTCTATGATCCATTTTGGGTTAATTTTTGTGAAGGAAATGAGGTCTGTGTCTAGATTCATTTTGTGTGTGTAGATGTCCAGCTGTTCCAGCATCATTTGTGGAAGGCACTATTTTGCTCCATTGTGTTGTCTTTGCTCCTTTGTCAAAGATTAGTTGACTATATGGGGGTCTACTTCTGAGCTCTCTAGTCTGTTCCACTGGTCCAATTATTCTGTTCTTTTTTCCCTCCCACAAGTCCCACACTGTCTCGATTACTGTAGATTTATAGTAAGTCTTGAAATCGGGTAGTGTCAGTCCTCCAACTTTGATCTTCTCCTTCAACGTGATGGCTATTCTGGGTCTTCTGCCTATCCTTATAAATTTTAGAATCAGTTTGTCAGAATCCACAAAATGACTTTCTGGAGTTTTGATTGGGATTGCATTGATTCTACAGGTCAATTTGGAAAGAACTGACATCCTTACAACATTGAGTCTTCCTATCCATGAACATGGGATATATCTCCATTTATTTAGCTCTTCAGAGCTTTGTAGTTTTCCTTATAAATATCTTATACATATTTTGTTAGATTTATACCTAAGCATTTCATTTTAGGAAATGCTAATGTAAATGGTATTGTGTTTTTAATTTAAATTCCATTTGTTCATTGCTGGTATATAGGAAAGTGACTGACTTTTTGTATATTAACCATCTATCCTACAACCTTGTTATTATCACTTATCAGTGGATCTTTAGACAAACATTTGCTTTACTGGGGGGTCATTTAGACATGAAAAGCCTCCGTTGACTGTCCATCTCCTATGAACACTCATGCACTTAATTTCTGTGATCTCAGATCTCTGACATTTATGGCCTAAAACATTCGTTGGTTTGACAATAATCTAAAGCCATAGTTTTCAAACTGTGCTCAACAGAATCCTAGAGCTACATGCCATTGCCTCTTCACAAAGACTACTTAAGGTGAAATTGAATGCATTGGGGTCTGAACCTTGTATATCATTTTAGCCAAAGCAACTTAATATTTTCTTCATATTTTAAAAATTTGAAATTATTTTACATTTACAGAAGAGTTGCAGAGATGATACAATACCCTTTACCCAGTTTCCCCATTGTTAACATATTACAGAACTATGGTATGTTATGAAAACTAAAAAATTAAATTAGTCTTAACTATTACCTAAATATTATTAACTAAGTTGCAAGCTTTATTTGGATTTCACTGGTCTTGCCATAAATTCACTTTTTTTGAGCAGCTCAGTTTTTATCCATTTTACCAGTCGGGCTTCATGTGAGATTTTATTTAGACAAAGGGTCCGCTAGCTGCTTCTATCCCCAGGCTTTCCCTTACCTCCACTTTATAAACCCTCAATTACTGCTGGTTGGCAATAGAGGAAAACTAGAATAGTAACTTCGCTTCTCATCATCTCGTATCACCTCAGGAACGCATCCATTTCTTATTGAATCACCCAATATCTTTGTGAGAATGGAGCATCTAATTTCAATATTCATTTTATAGCTGCAGAAATTGAGCACAGAGAGGCTGAGTCAAGATGAAGAAGTCTCCTGACTGTTGACTGACATTCTCATCCTCTCTACAAGACCTTCAGGTGAACGAAACATACCTGAGAGAGAAAAACTGATCAGTCTCCGGCTTCCTTGCCCTTGCACGGTCTCATCAGTGCCAATGCTTTTAAAGATCTGTAAGAAGAAGGAAAAGAAGAGACAAATAAAACAAGCATTGGACTAGATAACACTCTGACACAAGCATGCTTAATCACAGTAATTTCTCTACTTGCAGAATACCAAAAAAACCCAAAAAAAACCCCAGCAGTGTTGTGATTTCATTAGGCTACTATTGATTAAAACAAGCTGTTAGCAACCTAATGCCTTTCCCAGTAAAAGAGCGGGAAATGCTAGTGGGGGTGAGGGTGCTTTTCGGAGAAATGGAAATCAACAAACATAATTACTGTAATATTAGAGGCCCTTTAAAACTACTTATTTTCATTTAATTTTGTTTTTGTTTGTTTGTTTGTTGCTTGTGGCATATACTGAGGAATTTGAACTCGACCCTATAGGCAAGAGAGAGCCATTGAAGGTTTGGCTTTATTTGTTAGTAAACAGCATTTTATTCAAAAGATAAAATTTACTTTAAAAAAGTAATACATACTCGTTGAGGATGATCAGAGGTGCTCTGGAGAGGAGAGCACAATGCTTACTTAGATTGTGCTCTGAAGACTGGTTCAGAGGCAGCCTGGAGGTCACAATGCACTTTCTGTGGGGCAAAGGGGCTGTCCAGACCAGGGGAGGCAGACTCTCTGGGGGTGGGACTGGCATCCATCCTTAATGCTCCCCAGGGGAGTCCAGGGTGCACCCCAGGCTGAGAACCATGAAATTAGAAAACACAAGATAGAGGCGGAGGACTAATTTGGAGACAGCTGCAGTGGTCCAGGCAAACAGTAAGGAGGGTCTTGACAGTGCGGGAGGGGGATAGAGAGGAGAGGGGAGGCTTGTACCACTAGGTGGTACATGGATGGAACCTGGTGACTGGAAGAGGGTGTTGAGTAAAAGAGAGAGTCCCTTTGGCCGATCTCTTTCTTTGCGTTCTCTCTGAATTTAGAATCTCTTTTTTAAATCTAATTTTTTTATTGAAGGGTAGTTGATTTACAATGTTAGTTTCAGCAAAGCAATTCAGTTATACATACACATACATACGTATATTTTTCAGATTCTTTTCCATTATACTTATTACAAGAAATTGAACCTAGGTCCCTATTCCAGTAGGTCCTTGTTGTTTATCCATTTTATATATAGTAGTGTGTATCTGTTAATCCCAAACTCCTAATTTATCCCTCCCACCCTTTCCCCTTTGTTACAGTCCCTTTCTTACAGATTGTGAGATGCCTCAAAGTCACTGTCCTTCAGATCTGGCTTTTGCCACCAGTAAGTCCAGCTAAGGATGGAGGAGTGACAAGAGCTAAGTCTGTGTGTCTAAACCTTTGAGGTTGGAGGGGGAAAAAAAACTGCTTCAGTCCTACCTTTAAAAACCTTTAATGTAGATCATAGGAAGTGCGTCAGCTGTCTCTCCATCTGGGTCAGACAGTCTGTTCAGTGCAAGACAAAGACTGTATTTTGCACTGAGCTCTTTGCAACCACCCACTCCCTCCGACTGAACAGACGGGCACCGTGAGGGGGCACCCAGGGAGGGGTGCGCGCCATCGTTCATCCACCGGAGTGTGTGGTGTGATGGGGACAGTATTTACTTCTCATCAAATGAAAGGCGTTCCTGAAAAGATGCCTATGAAATGATTTTGCTTTCATACAAACATCTCCCCATCACTGACTTGCTTTAGGATTTCTAAGATGGGTTCTCATGTTTACACTTGTTTTAAATATACTTAAGTTCTGGGCAAAAACATGTGTCTGTCTCTAGTGCAGTGTCTGTTGTCCAGTGACACGACACAGGGATGGTCATCTTCTGAGAGATCCTAAGGGAAGCCCGCTAAGGTCCACGGATGAGCTGACCCTCTAGGCGCTCGGTGCCTGCTCCCTCAACTAGCTGGACCACATGATGAGTGGGCACCTCCCCTCCTCTCCACAGGGCGGGAGAGTTTTCCCTCTTTCATTAAATACTGGTCAGCATCAAAGAACCTCACACCCACCCCCTTCCTTTCCAAGGTTGTGATTTTCAAGGACAAGGTCTGTAAGTGACACGACTAGCGTGGGCACTAGAAGTACTTCCGATCTAGTTATTCTCTTACAAATATTTGTTAAACTATAACCCACAGCTCAGCCATCATTTCAAACTGCTCCCCATCCATCCATCCCCTCAGCCATCCATGCATCTCACAGGTACCATTCTAGGGGCAGTGAATTCTTTAAAGAAAACATCTTGAATGAAGGAATTAAACCCTTGTTTATAGGTAGTAACTGATTATTTTTGGTACTGTCAACCTTTCTGTATGTGGTCCAAGTATGTATTTGGCTTCTCTGTATAGCTCTGATACTGAAATCCATGTATTTTGCAACCAGCGAGCTGGAGCGGACCCACAGAGAGACATTCATGGGACCAGCTCGTGAGACCCTTACTGTATCCTCACTACATGGTGGGCAAGTGCTGAGAGCGTTCTCTGGCATCATCCCACCGCATCCTCAGACAGCCTTTCAACAGTCCTGTGAAGTGGGTCCTGTTTCTCTCACTCATCCATGTCATCGTAGGTTCAGAAATTGAGCCTCAGAGAAGTTAAAGGCCACCAAGTTAAGTGGCTGAGCCGAGGTCTGCACTCGTGCCCACTGGGTACAAATGTTTTACGGAGGGCCTGCCAAGTGCCTGGTATTGTTCTAGTTGGTCCTGGGAAACCACCCTGGGTAGGACAGGCAGGCGCATCCCTGACCTTAGAAACTATACCTTAATAGGGGAGCAAACACAAGGGAATCACATCATGACCATCATGAACAACAACAACAAAAAAACAAAGCGTGATGGTGCACGAGGGTGACTGGAGGTGTGCAGAGACTAGGTTGGTGGTTAGGGAGGCCCCTCGGAGGAGGTGACAGTGAGCAAAATCTTAAATGAAGACAGGGAGTAAGCCACTCCAATATCGGGGTGGGGGAGCGCTCCACGCATGAAACACCAAGACCAGCTTGCTGCGTCCAAGGCTCAGAAAGACAAGCAGAATGGCTGGAAACAAGTGGAAAGGCTGGAGACGGGAGTAGGAGGGGGCGGACCACGCAGGACATGAAGGCTGTGGAAAGAACATTGTATGAAATGAAGCCAGTTTTGAGCAGAAATGGTATGTGATGAGGTGAGAATGTTCCAGAGGACAGGAGAATTAACTATGCAGAAGACAGATCTAATCTCAGGATGGGAGTTTCTTAAAAGGCAAAATGGGACAGGGTCCTGTGCATCAGTGGAGAGTTGGACGTGAGACAGTGGGGACGTGACGGTGGCACAGCCAGGGGATCCACGTGCAGGCAGGCCGATGGGAAGTGGAAAGTGGGGAGTGGGAAGGCAAGATGGTTGGGTTCTGGTCACCTCCATTTTCTCAGTGAAGGCAGGCAGGTCATATGGAGAGGGGACGAGTGTTGTAGGTTTGAGGAAAAAGAAGAAAATACACAATAGCCTTCTCTAAATGGGGAAAAGGTGAGTCCTTCTGGGGAGCGTGAGAGACCCCTTGAGATTTCTGGTCATGAAGACTCTCCTGCTGCCAGGTAAAGAGTAGACAGACCTGGGCTTAACCCCAGTTGGATTTTTCCAGTGATGGAGAGATAAAGGGGGGAGTGAGACATGGTGGAATCTCAGCTAAGGAGGGAGATGAAACATGGGGGTGATCCTGTGGTTAGGATCAACAGACTGGGGGTGGAGATGACGGTTCAGGAGTGTTGCACTTGGACCTGAGAATTTGGAAGAGATGCAGTCACTGGTGTTGGGAAGATGCAGAGTAGAATGATTGCAGTTGACCGCTGAGGTAGGTTGGCCTTAGGAACTGAGAAGCCAAAGGGTTGGATAGCCCACCTCTTTTACATGAATACGGAAGCCTTCAAAAATTGTAACAGAATGATCTCTTAGCCGCATATTGTAGTATAATTCTGGATAATAAGAATGGTGGTCACTGATATCTGTCCATGTTCATTATGGGATTAGATATGCAGAGAACAGGACTCAGGACCTGTGACCCCCACTTCTGGACCTTAATTCTACAGGCTAACCCTGATGGTCAGGAATGTAAACTCATTTTTTTTTTG